GCGAAGATTTGGGTACGTATGGAATGTCTAGCTAAGGTAGTGTGGGAGTTTACGAAGATCTGAACAGTTGCTGACTTGTCATAGTACCGTATATTGGAAACCGTCCCTAGAGATGAGTGGCGGTATGCGTTTGCGTACTAAGTTGTAGCATTCAATCCAATTTTGTCCTCACCAAACAATGTAGGATTCATTAGGAACCTCAAATTTGAGAGGTCAATTTCTGATCACGACTGGAGTCACGAGACCAACTTCTCGTGATGAGGCGTACAGACTACAGACCTCCCCACGATGTTGTACCGGCACTTGCAGCGGCCCGGTGGAACAGCATGGGAGTTTACATACGATTCTGCAGGTGGTTCATATGGAAGTTTTCTTGGTTAGCTTATCGCCTAAAATTGGACGTAATGCCTATTAGACAAACAAGAGCCTTGTATTGGTCCGCGGAAGGTTTGGCAGTCACTTATTCAGGGACCTTCCTTGTGCGGGGTAGTGGAGGGCCAATCAAGCCTCCATTTGGGGGGGACGTATCCCAAGCGGCCGGGCCTTATCATCATCCCACCTTTTTCGCAGGTGGCCGCCGGTCCAGGCCCGTGGGCGGCGCAAACGGCCGCTTCCTCACTATCGAAGACGGCCACCTACCTGTAATGTCTAACTACCCTTTTGGCGCCAGCGAGTCCTTCTAAACCCGTAATCTGTAATTTTTCTCTCACCAACACCTACAACTGCTCATGAAGACGATTTTATCTGGCCGAGAGTCACCAACAATCTTGCCAGGATGCATCTCGTTCCCAAGGAGGTTTGTACTTTTTGTCCATTGTGCCCGAAGTTTCCCTCTTACACATCCCTGTCGCCTTGGCAGGATTTTGTAGAGACAGCAGTGTTAACGCGGCACGTCGTGATTGTAGCTCGATAAGCTCCTCATCTCTCAATTAGGCTCCCTGGCTCAACGGCGGCTTGCCCGGGGCGTCAAGTTGAACCACTCTGAAGCAACGGTATGAATACCTTCTTTTGCGGTGCTATCACTGCACTCAGAGTTCGTATGCACTAACACGACTCAACCGCAGGCACTCATCGCCAGCAACTTGCAAGAGCTCATCCGCGATGGCAACCACACCGTGGCTGATCTCATGAGCTTGGGTGCCACCATGCTGGGGAGGAGGCATGTGCTCCCCACAGTCTGCAGTACCCTTCATGAGATTCAGGTCGAGGGCACCTTTCCCTCAGGGACCTACCTCGTGACTGTCCACAACCCCATCGCGACGGACGATGGTGACCTGGCGCGCGCCTTATACGGCAGCTTTCTCCCCGTGCCCAGCAACGACCTCTTCTCGATGCCCGAAGTCGCGGCGTACGAGCCCAAGAAGGCACCTGGCGCCGTCGTCACCGCGGTGCGCAAGGTCGCGCTCAACGAGAAGCGCAACCGCATCAGGCTCAGAGTGAAGAGCAAGGGGGACCGCCCTATCCAGGTCGGCTCGCACTACCACTTCATCGAGACAAATCCGCAGCTCGAGTTTGACCGTGAGAAGTCGTACGGCTACCGGTTGGATATCCCCGCCGGAACCTCGGTCCGTTTCGAGCCTGGTGATGTGAAGACGGTGACGCTCGTCGAAATTGGAGGCCACAAGGTCATCCGCGGCGGCAACAAGCTCGCTTCAGGGGGCGTCGAGCTCTGGCGCGCAAAGGAGATTGTGGAGAAGCTTCAACTGGCCGGGTTCGCCCATGCACCAGAGCCCGAGGCCATCATGAACTTCGCCGAGGTCTACCAGATGGAGAGGGCGGCGTACGCGACAATGTTCGGTCCCACCGTGGACGACCTGGTCCGGCTCGGCACCACCGATCTCTGGATCAAGGTGGAGAAGGACTTCACTGTATACGGCGACGAGTGTAAGTTTGGCGGCGGCAAGACGTTGAGAGAAGGTATGGGCCAGGCAACAGGCCGGCCGGATTCGGAATCTCTGGATTTGGTCGTCACCAACGCCCTCATTGTTGACTGGACGGGCATCTACAAGGCCGACATTGGTGTTAAAGATGGTATGATTGTGGCTATCGGAAAGGCGGGTAATCCGGACGTCATGGACGGCGTGACGCCTAACATGATCGTCGGTAGCTGTACAGATGTCGTCGCTGGCGAGGGCAAGATTATCACCGCCGGCGGCGTTGACAGTCACATCCACTTCATCTGCCCGCAACAAGCAAACGAGGCCGTCGCGTCAGGCATCACCACCATGCTTGGAGGTGGTACAGGACCAAGGTGAGAGAGCAATCCTATGAACAGCAAGTCAGCTTGTTCCGTCGACTGACCAACCTTCTATAGTGCCGGCACGTGCGCCACAACATGTACGCCCGGCAAGAACTACATGCGCGAGATGCTTCAAGCGTGCGACACGTTGCCTCTGAACATTGGTATCACGGGTAAGGGCAACGACTCGGCACCGGAGGCCCTGCGGGACCAGGTCATCGCCGGCGCCTGCGGCCTTAAGCTCCACGAGGACTGGGGCACCACGCCCGCGGCCATCGATACGTGCCTCAGTGTCTGCGACGAGCTCGACGTGCAGTGCCTCATCCACACCGACACGCTTAACGAGTCGGGCTTCGTCGAGTCCACCATCATCGCCTTTGCCGGCCGCACCATCCACACGTACCACACCGAGGGCGCTGGTGGTGGCCACGCACCCGATATCATATCCGTCGTCGAGCACCCCAACGTCCTGCCGTCGTCGACGAACCCGACCCGGCCCTACACCCGCAACACCCTGGACGAGCACCTCGATATGCTCATGGTCTGCCACCACCTCTCCAAGAACATTCCCGAGGACGTCGCCTTTGCTGAGTCGCGCATCCGCGCCGAGACCATCGCCGCCGAGGACGTGCTCCACGACCTGGGCGCCATCAGCATGATGTCGTCCGACTCGCAGGCCATGGGCCGCTGCGGCGAGGTCGTCCTCCGCACCTGGAACACGGCGCACAAGAACAAGGTCCAGCGCGGGTTCCTGCCCGAGGACGAAGGTACGGGCGCCGACAACTTCCGCGTCAAGCGCTACGTGAGCAAGTACACTATCAACCCGGCCGTCGCACAGGGGTTCGGCCATCTGGTGGGCAGCATCGAGGTCGGCAAGCTTGCGGACCTGGTGGTGTGGGACCCGGCGTGGTTCGGCACGAAGCCCAACCTGGTCATCAAGAGCGGTCTCATTGCGTCAGCACAAATGGTAAGTCTCCCTCACTCACTTGATCTCTTATGGCCCATCAAGAAAAAGAAGAAGAAAAGCATCAACTGACCATTCCCTCACAGGGCGACCCCAACGCCTCTATCCCGACAGTCCAACCCATCATCGCGCGCCCCATGTTCGCGCCCCTCGTGCCGGCCTCGTCGGTGCTCTTCGTCTCGGCCGCCTCCATCGCCTCGGGGGCCATCGCGTCGTACGGCCTCCGGAAGCGCGTCGAGGCCGTCAAGGGGTGCCGCACGGTCGGCAAGAAGGACATGCGCTTCAACGACAGCATGCCGCGGATGAGGGTCGATCCGGAGAGCTACAGCGTCGAGGCGGACGGCGAGGTGTGTACCGCCGAGCCGTCTGATACGCTTCCCTTGACGCAGGCGTTCTACGTCTACTGAGCGTGATGATGATGACGGCGGCGGACTTTTCTGGTGTTGATGGGATGGACATCAGAATGGGTGTTTGAGAGGTTTGGCGTTGATGAGAAGATGAAAGTAGGAAGAGAGGGCACGTCGTAGTGAGGGGGAAGGGAAGAAACATTTCAGAGCATAGCGGCATACGGGCGGGTAGTTGGGATGGGATATTGGGCCGCTTATTATTAATGACATATGAGAGAAGCTACCTTGCCCTATGAAAGGCTTTAAAAAGCAATAACAACAGCGTTTTCTATTTCATTACTAAAACCAGAACAGTAGAAGGACGCAGTACAGTGCCAGAGTGTTATGAGGGGCGGTTAAGAAAGTCTCGGCTGTCGTTCTGATAGAGTAATGCCAACACCTCTCGTTTCCAGGGTTCCCCCCCCCCCCCCCAAAAGCCTAAAAGGATCGACGGACAGATTCGACCCACGCGTTGCATTTACGTGTCTCGATGCTGTGTATAAACCGTATGTGCAGCGTATTCAAAATAGAATGATGGGTACCTGAATCGATTGCCCACTTGTCGATTCGTGAGCTCACAGGGAGTAAATCTACCAGCCTACTATCAATAACTCGAAGGGATACATATGTACATGCTACTTCATACTGCAAAAAAGGTAATTACGTTCAGAGGTACTGCCAAAGTGCGAGCGTTTCTGCGTACTCAGGTGCCTAGAATAAATTTGAACATCAAATATAGATCAACTTGGCAGTTGGGACGTAATTGAGTTCTTCGATTCTTGTCTGTCCACCTTACTGGCCCTGTGTAGGCCAAGGTGAACACTATTCTCCATCGACTTCCTTCCGCATACCTTACCTAGGTTGGTCCCTAAAGTCATTTTCTCAAGAGAAGATGCGCCCCAAGCTTCACAATGCATTTCACAATCATCAGAGGCAAACAGCGTCAATGTGAAGATCAATATTGTTTGATTCTGTCATGTCCGTCATTATACATACAGGACTAACTGGAAAACAAGCAAAGCCAGCCCAAACCGAAAGCCCATTGGATCCATAAACCGCCCGCCTCAAGTTTGGGGGGGGGGGGGGGGGTTTGTATTCCTTTCTCTCTCTCTCACACGTGTTGTACCCGTTGGAAAAACCGTCCCAAAACCACACGCCTTGTGAAATCATACACACCGCGTTGCGCGCGCAGTAGGCACACGCAACGACAGAGGACCGAAGTAGATGTGGTCCTTCCTTTTTGTTCCTCCAGTCCAGAACCTCACACCCCTGTGTATATCTGCGCCAACATAGGGACAGTGAAGGGGTAAGGATCGACGACGAGCCGCCGCGCAACGAGGTATCATCTTTGCAAAAACCCAGAAACCTAGAAACAAGAAAAAAAGAGGAGGGGTTGAAAGAAGCACAATGCTTAGTTCTTGCCCTTCTTCGCTCTGCTCTTCTTGGCAGGCTCCGCTGACTCGGTGGCGTCAGCGGCCTTGGTGGATGTGCGGCGACGCTTCTTGTCAGGGCTCGCGGGAGTGGCGGCAGCCTTGGCCTCGGGCTCAGCAGCAGGAGTGGCAGTCTTGCGCTTGCGGGTAGAGGCGGGCTTCTTGGGGGTCTTGACGGGGGCAGGGACTTCCTCCTCCTCTTCCTCTTCACCAGGAGCATCGACGGTGTTGGCCTGGTTGAGCTGCTCGGCGATGGCATCCTCAACATCGGGGACAACATCAACAGGGTTGATCTGGATGTTGTGCTCCTCGGCATACTTGAGAGCGGAATCGTCGTCCATGTTTCTGGCCTCAAGGTTGCCACCCTGCTTGTAGGAGTGAACACGAGCCTGGTAGAGGCGGAGGTTATACTGGTAGGCGTTGTTCCAGCCGGCCTTCTCCTGAAGGTTCATGGCCTTCCAGCGACGCTGGCCCTCTTCCTGAACAGCACCCTTGGGAGCGGCATCACCGAGGTCGTTGGCAATGATGGGACGGGCGGTCTGCATGTACAGGAAGTAGGGGGTCAGGGGGCGCTTGGGAGCATTGGGGTCGTGGGTGCGCTTCTTGCGCTCCTTCTTCTCCTCAACAGGGGCAGGGTGGTAGGCAACGCCGGGCTGGAGACCAAGGGCCAGGGGAGCGATGCTCTGGGCAGCATGCTCCAAGGTGTTCAGAGGGTGGTCAATGCCCGGGATGGCCTCGTGTGCAGACTCGCCGAGAAGCAGGCTGGTCTGGCGGTAGTAGTCCTCGGAGAAGTTCTTGATCAACTCCAGGATAGTGATGAGGCGCTGGTGAACCTGGAATGGGTGTTAGCATTCTGTCCGACCAGATGCGCTTGAGCAAATAGTAAGATGCGTAAAGTAGCAGGGAACGTGGAGTGGGAAATGGGCGGCCAAGCTTAGCTGAGCTGAGCTGAGCTTGAAGAGCTTCTGTGGGTCACAGCTTCCGCGGTAGACGCGGGGTCACATTGGGCCATGTAAACAAAATGAGCATTCTGACGCAGCGTGTTTTCCCAGTGCCATTTCCTCGGAGCACATTTGGCTGATCAAATGCAAATGTGCCCGTCTTGTATTTCGCGGTGCCAGGTGAATCTCTGGATAGCAAGCACACAAGCACGCGCGGCTGACAGACAGTTCACGCCGAGAAACGCGTCGGAGAAATAGCAAGACAACCAGATGCTTGGATAGCAGAAGCCAGTGAAGAAGCTGGCGCGATATCGACCCCGGGATAGCCAGCTGGGCCGTGGTGAAGCGGGGAGTGAAGTTGAGAAAACATAGTGGTGTAGAATCGAGGTTTTGAGGGGATGGTGGGATGGTGGGAAGGGTATATCTTACCGAGTCGCGGACGCGAATGAAACCCTCGACATCAATGTGTCTTTGGGGGATCTGGAGGGGCTGCACGGGCTGAGCAGGCGCGACAGGAACGGCAGCGACGGGAGCGCTGGGGGTGGCGGCGAGGGCCTTCTTTGAGGGGCGAGGCATTGTGATGGTTGTGTTTTTGGTGGTTGTGGTGAGGTAGAGAGGATTTAGGGCCGATGGGCGCTGTAAATCAAGTGCTGCTCTGACGCGACGATGGCGAGAAGCAGAAAAGGTGTGCTGGTGTTTGGTGGAGGTTTTTTTTTTTTTCTGGCACTCGCAAAGTGGCGCAACGTTGGGAGGGAAGGGCGGTTGGGATTTGGGGGGTTTGGTGCCTGGGAAAGTGAAGAAATGGGGGGAAAAGAGGGAAGGGAATGGGAGGTTGGGGGGAGGGCCTGAGCCGAATATGTAGTGCAGACGGGGTGGGAGGGGTTTGGGAGTGATTTGGCACCTTTCCGGGGGGGCCAAGTGGGAAGGGGAAGAGGGGAATAGAGAAAAAAAAAATATTCAGGCACTTCGCTCTTGCCCGCCCCAAAAAAAAAAAGCGAACTGGGCGAGTTTTGGGGGGCCTGCTCTGTCCCCCCTCTCTTTCACCCAAAGTATTCCCATTCTCTTGCCCTGTCCTTTTTCTCCCCTCCCCCCCCAAGGCCCCAGCAGCAGCAGTAGCAGCAGGCGATTCAGCCCACAGCTTGCACGTTTATTCCCCCTCTTTCCCGGTCTTCCACCTTGTTGGCGGTGATGTCGCTTCAGAGGTTGCCCGTGCCGCCAGACAGGTAAACCGTTAACCACAACTGCCCTCCCGCGTGCCTCTCGGGCGGGAGGTACAAAGTCTCCACGTCTGCCGTCTCCCAAGGTACTGAGGTGCGTACCTTAGCTTAGGTTCCATATCTACACTGGTGCCACCTAATGCAAACCTTGGTTCTCATATGCCCACACTCTCTCTGCGCCAATATTGAATATCCTCTGAGCCTCTGAGCCTCTGAGCCTTGAGGTAAGGTACCTACCTCAGCAGCTCACCTAGGTACCTTTGGCACCTTCCCTCAATCACATCATGCGACGCGTAAAAGAATAAATAAAAAAAAAGTGCCCGGTACCCCTGCAACACCCAAGGGGATGCATCCACCTCAGCGCTGCTAATCAGTAATGGAAAACGAAAAAGTCCCTCCAGCCTGGCCCGATCAGTCTCGCCCACATCAGCGCTTCTGGCCAAGCCAGCTGGAAAGGTTATGCCACCTCGGCATCATCCTTTTGTGCACAAATGTGGTAAGCACATTGCCTCCACCAGACTTCCATTCGTAAACTCCCAGGGCAGCTCAGGGCTTTCAGCGTTTTCCACTGCGAATGACGGCCGACGGGACACTTTAATCCACTCCGCCAGGGCAATGAAGCAAAATAGGCGACCACTTTCGCGCAAAGAGATGATACAGCGCCAGCCCACTCAGCATCTGCCACCAAGAAAAGAGGCATGACAGTGTGACTATTTGAGCACACAAGAGAGGCCACATGTCATCCATACCTACCTACCTACCTTACCTTTACGCAGTAGGTACGGTCTACAAACTTTTCCTCTGCGTCCCGCCATTCCACTCCTCATTCCCTTAGGTTACCTTGCCTCACCGAAAAAAAGGTACCTACAAAAAGGTATCGCTGGCCATCAACTCCCCTCTCGGCATCGGCGGTCGTCTTGATTGCCGCCCAGCACAACTACCTTAGACTCGACTTGAGTATCGAGCCTCGTGGATTGTCTCTTTGCTGTACTTTGCTATTGTAAGTCAATGAATCGATCGTCGGAAAGTCCTGTTTCTTGGGAGCAAGGATATGCTTTTCTTGCTGCTATATTCCTTCTCGACCTGTTCTGAGCAACTGCATGGCTTATTCGTGGTCGTTGTAGACGCTGGAGTGCCGCAATCACGCTATTTGATGCGCTGCTTGTCGCCGTGATGCTCTGGCGGTACTCTCACTGTACCTCCAGCGGGGTGGTATTGGATGGTGACGGGATGCCTTGGAGTTTTGCACTCTTTTCTTCCTCCCTCGATCGCTGATTTTCGGCGGCGGGCGCCCACATTTTTTCTCGTGTGCGAGGTGCACCGTCCGTCCATGACACACACCTCGCCTCCCCATCCTGTAGCGGTAGTGCCCTGTCGCCCAATGAGGACCCTGCAATCGGGGGCGCCCACGCGCCTTCCTGTCCAGTGCCTGCCAGCGACCGTCGGGTCCCGCCCGTTTTCCCAAGCCACCCGTGGGCCTCAAGAGGAAAGAGCACAACACCCACGGCGCGCCTGCTTGCTATGCACAAGGGGGAAAAAAAACAATGACCGGGGGGTAGGTACCTTAGAACCCGTCGGTGATTGCACTGCCTCCATCCCCGACCGACAATCTCTGACTCCCCCCATCCACCTCCCATCACTCACTGCCCAACTGTGATTCCTCACTCCTCTCCCTCTGTGAGTCGGGCTGTCCTCCATCGCCGGCTTAACAGATTCACGGTGCTGTGTCCTCCATGTGGTAAAAGCAGCAAGGCTTCTGAGGACTCGGGTGCCCGTCCCCGCCTGTGTCTGCCTGGAACTGAATGGGCACCATTCAGCTCACTTCAGAGTCCTGGTCTCCTGGATTCCCAGGTGCAGCAACAGCGGCAGCACCACCATCACCGTACTCTTCCGCACCCCCCGCCGTCCTCAACTCACTCTGGTCCCCGGGAACTTCTCGTTCTTCTCCTCATCTGTCTGCGCCCCGACAGCGGCCATTTCCTCAGGCCTTTCCCCACTGCTTCGCCTGAAGATCCCTCATTGTCGCCATCTTCAGAGCTTCTGCCCCCGTTATCGCAGCTGGCTCTGTCCGACTCCGTTTCTGCTGGCCTGGACCGCCAGTGTGGACTCTGGACTCTGGACTCTGGACTCTGGACTCTGGACTCTGGACTCTGGACTCTGGACTCTATACTCAGGCTGCCCACCCATCTCATTCTCTGCTCAGAGCCTGAGTTCAGACTCGACACCGAGGACGCTGAAAGCCTGCTCCAGCCGAGGCCCCCTCGTTTTTCCTTCCCAAATCACGGGTACCTTCGGCCAAGTACCAAAGAACCCAGTCATCGTCAGCGAGGTGGTCCTGCCAGGCACTGACGTGCTGAATTCCTCGCCCACCACTGCCGCCCTTCTCACACTTGGTTATCGTGTCGGTCGTTTAGCAGCCATTAAGCCTCAGGAGGAAGTAGACGTCGTCTCGTCGGCGGTATTCGCTGACCCTCGAGAAGCCCAGCACGGAGGGTTCCCCGCTCACTCACACCCAGCACCGACCATCTCGGGTTGCGTGTTCCCATCTTCAGCGATGACAGCGAGCACCCTCCAACCGGCCGCCCAGCAATTCATTCTGGTTCTCGGGGCAGTCTCAGTTCTCATGAGGCTATTTTCCCAGCACCATTGGAGTAGCCAGCTTTTCCCCGCCGTTGCTTGAGCTGGCACACACGCGACTTGTTTTCATGTGCGAACACTCTCAGGTCACCTTACCCAGTGTACTCCCTCCTCCAAAAGAGACTGGACCTATCCCTCGGTGCTTCCCTCCAATCCCCCGTCAACGCCCTTTGTATCCGTACCTAGCTCCAGAAACCTGCCTGTTCGGCAACGACGTAAGCTCTTCACCAGCCTGGAGCACCATCACCACCGTTGGTGTTGCTAACGACCCTGAATCAACTGTCTACGGATCTGAGAGGTGTTTATGCGCTGGCAACCACTGAAAAGCAGAAAGACCCTGCTTGAAGCCAGACGCTCCCGTCAGGACTCGCTGGGCACCTAATAGTGTTCTCAAGCAATGTGCTCTTGACTATCTTATTGAAAGGCATCTCACACAGTAGTCCTCTGAGGGATCACAGTCATCCAGTGGGATACATTTACGTTAACGCACTGAAAGCAAATACTTGGTCGGACGCTTCGAACTTCGGTCACGTTGCTATTCTATGCTTTGATCAGTGCCCGTATTCCACGGAGCTCGGGCGGCTACCGTTTCTAAGAGACCCTCTTGAGTGAGGTGTCCAAGATCCATCTAGGCTATCACTCTTTTATTTCTCGGGAAGTGTAACCCCGAGAGGACGACCACACGGTGCCCGTCCACCAACGGTGTCAAGCCTGCGATAGTTTCCCTAGAGGCATGAGAAGCTCTTGCATGATGCCTCATCGACTAGCAGAGCTCACCCTGTCCCCATATTGAAGACAGCATGACGAGTCTGTCATGGCAGACATGTCTACATAAGAGTGAACACACTACTCAGAAGTGTTGATGAACAGCACGTCCATATGCATCACGTAGGTATGCCAAGTCAACCGTGTCTTCATGACTGTCATGGCCGCAAGAATTGCTGCGGCTATGGGGTTGTTCCAAAGCACCCATTATATACAGTACACCGAGCCCAGACCGAAGACTCCGTTAGGCCTTACCAAGTGCCGTTCATGGGAGCGAATAAGTTTCATGGCAACCCAAGGTACGCGGAACTCTATTCACTAGGTCAATCATGAAATCATTCTCGTTCAATGTCTGTATCAGTGAAAGACATTCAGGCCTCGGTCTCGCGCGATTTCCCACGAGCTGCTGTTCCTGGAGAACGAGCAATGGAGTAATGCTGCTGCTGCACGTGATTGTTTGGCACATGAAGCTTCGATTTCCAGGTATGGGTCGAGCAAAGTTCACAATCATTTCATGGCGCACGAGAGACAATGTGAGTCTACGACTGTACGTTTGACTAGCAGGTCTGATCGGAAGATGATGGCAGTGCGGACGGGACTATCCAGTTGCTTCTGCTGTGGTGAGGTGCACCCCTGCGAAGCATTGATCAACGGCCGCCAACGCGTGTTTCTCGCCTAATCATAACAACTCCGACGCGACACCGTAGACGTTCTGTAACGGCCTGTCTCATCCCACCCTGCGCAACCACAAAACATGAGAAGCAAGCTGATCAGGCGGCCATCCAGAGGTACTGTCTCTAGAGGTGGTTTTGCAATAATTCTCATGTTGTCTACGCAGTACATGGCTAGATTCACACTTTGGTGAGCCTATTCAACTCATCGATAGCTATTGCTCCTAGGAAAGCTATGGGTAGCTCAGGTCCCCGCCTCGAAACCATTTTCTGGAGCTGTCAAAGCTTGAGGGAGCAGTAAATCCTCAGCATCATCACTGGGTACTCTTGTTATCAGTTCAGTGAGTCGTATCGGGAGCAGAATGAGCAGACGATACACCATTGACAGTATGTTCTCAAGGAATCGGCGATGAACAGTTACAGCAGTGTTCCGCGACATGAATCCCCGTCCTACGCGCCCATCGTAGATGAGAATGAGATGAGAGCCAGCAAGCTTTTGGAACCTACCGCAGAGCTGTCGCCAATAGAAAGGCCCAGAGAGCTGAGCGGCCGTTCCACACTGGAAAGCTGAGCTCAGCCCCGCACCAAAA